CTCGTTTATGAGCTGTCAGCTGTGTGTTCTCAGCCAATGAATTAGTGTCTGTGCATAGAGTATGCACAGAATTTACATTGACAACGCCGAACACACACATAGATACGCACACATTTATGTTGGAGTGCAGGGCCGGACTAGGAAAAAAATTAGGCCCCGGGCATTTTTCAATCAGAGCGGCCCCCTAAGAAGGGGGCGGGGCCAGAGAGTGTGTGTTTTGTCATCACTAATGACAACACGCCCCCTCTCAAAGTGAGCATGTTGATTCAATGCCCAGAGCCCTGCTGAAGAGCTTTGGCATTAGAAAAATTTGTTCTGCGCAGCGTAAGCAAATTTAATAACATGCTTGCGCTGTGTTTGCTTTTAAATTGTCTCTGGTGTCTCCACAAGTGGGATACCAGAGGACAAATGGGCCAAGAAAGTGCATGGTTCATATGTTTGGAGCCTGCTTGTGGGATTGCGTGTGTGTAGAGTGTGGTGTGGTATTGTGTACATAGGTCAATTTAATTTGTGTTTGTGGTGTAATATGTGTGGCTAGGGGCTGTAGAGAGTGTGTGTATAGGGGGCATAGTTTTATAGGGGATGCAGCGAGTGTGTGCATACGGGCTGAAGTGTGTGTGTATAGGTGACGTAGTGTGTGTGGGGGTTGCAGAGAGGGTGTGTTTAGAGAATGTTGTATGTGTTTGCTGACAAGGAATGTAGTGTGTGTGTGTGTGTGTGTAGGAGATCTACTGTGTAAAGGACCCAGTGTGTGTGTGTGTATAGAGGATAAAGAGTGCATATAGAGTAAGGGATCTAGTGTGTATCTGGAGCGTAATGTGTGTAGTGGTGCAGTGTGAGGGGTGCTGTAGTGTGTGTGTGTGTGTGTGTGTATGTATATATATATATATATATATTTGGACTTATTGTATGTGTGAGGGGCGCAGTGTGTGTATGTAAGAGGGGTGCTGTGTGTGAGGGTGTTTTTATCTGCTGTCACATTCTAGGTTTCTTTGTCTGTTAACTCACTGAGGGTTATTTTATATATATATATATATATATGTGTGTGCTGTATATGTGTGGGAGTGTGCTGTGTGTGTCTGGGGGTGCTGTGTCTGGGGGTGCTGTGTCTGGGGGGTGCTGTGTCTGAGGGGGGGTCTGGGGGAAGCCGTGACATGGGGGGTGCTGTGTCATGGGAGGTGCTGTGTCTGGGGTGCCAGGCCTGGCTGGGCTGTGTCTGGGGGCTAGTCTGGGGGTACGTGTCTGGGGCTAAAGTTGGGGGCGCAGTGTGTGTATGTAAGAGGGGTGCTGTGTGTGAGGGTGTTTTATCTGCTGTCACATTCTAGGTTTCTAATTTTCTTTGTCTGTTAACTCACTGAGGGTTATTTTATATATATATATAAAGGCGCGTGTGTGTTGTGGTATGTGTGGGGGTGCGCTTGTGTGGGTCTGGTGCGCTTTTAAAAGGCCTGGGGGTGCAGTGCGTCTGGGGCGCCAGTGTGTGCCCGGGGGAGGCTGTGTCTGGGGGTGCTGTGTCTGGGGGCTGTGTTGGGGGTGCTGTGTCTGGGTGCTGTGTGTGTATGTAAGAGGGGTGCTGTGTGTGAGGGTGTATTTATCTAAGCGTCACATTCTAGGTTTCTAATTTTCTTTGTCTGTTAACCTACCTGAGGGTTATTTTATATATATATATATATATATATATATAAGGCGTATATATGTGTGCTGTATATGTGTGGGGGGTGCGCTTGTGTAATCTGGGTGCGCTGTGTGCGCTCGGGGTGCAGTGTGTGTCTGGGGGGTGCCAGTGTGTCTGGGGGGGCGTTGTGTCTGGGGGGTGCTGTGTCTGGGTGCTGTGTCTGGGTGCTGTGTCGGGGGGTGCTGTGTCTGGATGCTGTGTGTGTGAGTGAATGTATTTTTTTATTTAAATTTAAATATTTTTTTTTACTAATAAAAAAAAAAAAAATCCCCCCCCCTTCTTACCTTTATCCTGGGAGGGGGGGGGAGAGGAGATCCGTTCTGCCATGGAGGGAGGAGAGCCATGCTGCCATCCTTCCCTGGTGGCCCAGTGGTGAGAGTGAACTCTAACCTGCAGGTTAGAGTTCACTCTCACGAGATCTGAGCGTTGCCGCGGTAACGCTCAGAATCCCGCGAGAGGACCCGGCGGAGCTGCTTGTTAGAGCATTTTCATGCCTGTGGGCCGGTGAGGGAGATCTTTGATCTCCCCACCGGCCCATGGAGGCACACAGCAGGGCCGGCGCTCGGATAGCGCTGGCCCTGCAGGAGCCGGCCGGGGAGATCCTGTGATCTCCCTGCCAGCCTCGGCCCCACGGCCATCGCGGCCCACCGGGCATTTGCCCGGTATGCCCGATGGCCAGTCCGGGCCTGTTGGAGTGGGAACTTGGAAGAAAATCTCCTAAACTTATAAATAATATTATTCACAGATAAAAATAGGACATATTATGCACAAGATTCCCCTTTTAGTCCACTTTTAGATGGGCTTAGTTTGGGGTTCGCAGAGCCAAGTGCAGCAAAGTATCGTATTTTTCTGTGTATAAGACACTCCCATGTATAATTTATTAGCCCAAAATTTGGAAATCAATATTGTAAACATCAAATAGAACAAATTAATATTTTAGAGGTGACTTCTGAGGTAAACACCACACTTCTGATTCTCAAAGGAAGACCTACCTGAGATGGAGCAAACCTTAATATGGCTGCTCCTTTTATGGTGTGGCATGTCTCTGGAACTCCATTGGTGGTAAGTGCTGATGTCTGCTGCAGCTCCCACGCATGTACTGACCTCTTCCTCCTTGCCTCAGCATTCAGAAGTGGATTGGAGGGAGGCCAAGTATGTGTGTGGGCCGTGGCACTATGAAATGCGTCAGGCGCCATCTTAACTTAGGCCAGGCACACAAGTGTGTTTTTTTTAACCCCTGCAATGACGACCCCCAATTTAGCTCAGTACTATACCGACTTACCCATATCAGCCGCCTGCCTTGCTGAATCTCTGGTAAGAAGCTGAATCGGGCCTATAGCAAGATGGCTGCCACGCACCTGCAGAACACATGGAGAGAGAAACTCAAGGCAATCTTTGACTTGTTCTGGATGAATCTTCAGAATCGTGCACAGCAACTGACACCTGCATCTAAGTCTGCTGGGCCCAGGCACAGCTACCATCATACTCACCTCTACTATTGCAATTTGTCCTCCTAGGATGGGAGCCATTTGGGTTATGACCCCCATATGCCACCTACGTCTACAAAGATCGACTCGGTGCCTCAGAAAGTGTCGAAAGAGACCTTTCCACAGTCCCCCACCAGGGAAATATTTAGCCTCAGAGAGACACCGAATCTATGGAATTGTGGTGCGGGGTCTCAGATGGGCCAGGGCTGGAGGGGCACCTCACCTGGTCTCTGCTGCACAGCCCCCTCGGGACTGAGTTTGGATACATGCATTAAGCCCTCTGTTGGAATTGGCTGACTGTAATGTCTCTCCATGGTGAGCTAACATACCTATCAGACGCCGAGTTATGTTTTTTTGCAGCAGCAGCTGTAGTTTCTTTATTTTGTATTAATTCTTGCTACTTTGACTTCTTTCTTATATAACGGTCAAAATTAGTGCAGGTGGCCCCAGCGGTACAAGCTACTGAATATGCTGCCTGATTTGTACAGTGTAATATCCATTACCATAGTCACTCATATTGTCAGAATGTTTACCTTGATATTTCTTTGCGTGTTTTTCCACGTCTGACAAAATATCACTTGTTATATTTAGTATACTCCTATTTTTCCATATTAATCGCTATGTCTAACTTGCCTCCTGTCTCTACCCGCTTAGTTTAAGAATATGCGTGCGCATGGGGTGTGCAGGGTGTGCCTGGACACACCCTAATGCCAGCGGCACGCACTATATGCATCCCTCCATGGGCCGGTGAGGGAGATCATTGATCTCCCTCACCCACCCACAGCCAAGTAGGGAGGCAGGAGAGGACCCGGGGAACTCTAGCCAGCAGCTTCATCGGGTTCCTCTTGCGAGGTCGGACCGTTGCCGCGGCAATGCTCAGCTCTCGCGAGAGTGAACTCTAACCCCGCATACATCACCCTTACACACACAGCACACACACTAACAGCACCCTTACACACACAGCACCCTTACACATACACACACACACAATAACAGTGCCCTCACACACACAGCACCCTCACACACACACATTAACAGCACCCTCACACACACACACACACACACACCACCCTCACAAACACAGCACCCTTGCACACACACACAACAGTGTGTGTTTGTATGTATATATATAAATACACAACGTGTGTTTGTGCTTTAGGGTGCACACCCTTATGCAATAGGCTGTGCACGCCTATGAGTTTAAGCCAATGTTTTAGACATATGTGCCTAGCCTGAATCTCTTCCACCATAAAATTTGTGCTGTATTTTGAACTGCCTGCTATAGCTGTTGGGGCATTGTGGGCTTGTCTGTATTTATCTTTATACACCGCAAAAAAAAACAAAAACAAAAAAACTAAAGAAAAAGGTGCATTTTCAGATGGAAATGTCCTATTCAGGGTTTTTATTTAACAGCACAGCAATATGATTATAGAATAACCCCCCCCTCCCAACACAGGTGCTCTATTTGTAAGCATGTTTTGGACCTTCCATGATTGCTAGACTTTGGGATAATACTGCCTTTAGCATGTCACTTCCACGTGTACATTGCAGAATCGAAATATTTGACATCTACAATAACATTGTTATTAGTCTTCGTTAATATTGGTAGATTGTAAAATATGGATTAAGGGCTGACTCGTGTGTGTGTGTTTTATTAATTCTACTTCACATTCTAAAACCTGGGAAATCAGTACATGGTGTAAAAACCCTTCTTCCTTTTTTCCCGATACCTCTTGCAGTTTATCATCAAGACTTGTGAAACTATTTCCTATTGATGGCAAGAGTTACACAAAGCATTTCTGATTGGGACACATCACTCTCTATATAAATATGAGCTCAGACAATTTGCACACGTACTATTCTCCAAAGATCACTTTTAAAGAGGAACCACCAACATGACCCGACCAAGGTATTGTAACTGATTTGTCCTGTTTTAATCCTGAGTATTTGGTACAAATTTAGCCAAAGCCACATCTTACTACAGCTCGTGGCATAGTGGGGAGAGAATTTAAACAATGTATTAAATGCTGAACATTCTAAGACAGAGTGCTACTATCTGCTTGGTGGACTTGGGTATAGGAATATGTGTAAGATCTGTACTGCATGGAACCATATTAAATTGGTCAGATAAGAATTAACCTGATGCAGACAGACATCTAGCCAAGGGCTTTGTTTTCTAAACAATGATATGTGGACAGAAAAAAAGAGTCTAATATTTCATATGTGGGGTTAATATGCAGGGTGGCAGCTTGTTGATCATTTTGGTATGAAGAATCATTTTTTTCCCACAATTTGTGGCAAAACTGAAAAGTTCTTCAAATTGGGATTTTCATCTTCTTTTAGATCAACGTGATGGATTTTATTATATTCAGAGCTAATATCACTATGTAAATGTAAATGGAAAAAATAGTCCCTTTTTTTTGTTTTCAAAGTAAAAAAATAAACAAACTTGAAATGTTGAATTATTCCAACGCTGCTCTTGTGACCCTTAGGGTAAACTAACCCCATTGAGTTTATTTGAAAATGCCAGCTTGTAGTGAATTGAAACTCAAATTGCAAAATGTGTCCAGAATGGCAGATTTGGGTGCAGAGCTCGACTGTTTTAGCAAACATTTTACAAACCGAACTTCAATGCATTCCGGTTCAGTGTTAAATATATAATGCTCATTGTCAGGGATATTAACTATCCTGTCATTGGCCTGGGACTTACTAGAGATTTAAACATTTTTGGCAAAAAGTCTAATACCATTTTTTCAGCAATTTTTTTGCAGCATGATTTTTTTTTTCTTCCTGCAAAGTGAAATTTAAGGTTTCATTGCAGAATTCCTGGCTTAGAGAATTAAAGATTTAAAAGATTCATAAAATAAAATAAAAAATAAATTCACTTTAATAAATTAGGTAAAAATACCAAACTACTCTGAATTAAAATCCAAATTGCAAAATTAAGCCTAAAAAAAACAAAATGCTGAGCTAGAAGATTTTTTCCAGATCTTCATTTTTTAAAATACATTTTCCAAATTAATTCCATACATTTTGCCGCTTAGTAAATAAAACCCTGTGATTTTTCTTGATTGAAAGTATATCCTGTAGAGAGCTTAAATTGCAATATTTAAATATAAATAGCAATACCAAAAATACATAAATAATTAGTATTTAAACTGGTAAAACTTTCATTATGCAGAATAAAAAGATATGACCACATTTTTATTTTAAACCCGTAGATATTTAAAGGTACTGAATATAATAATTTAATATATGTGTACGTGTGCAGTAAACTAAATTCCTTCTGCCGCAATATTTCTACACAACAAATAACACTCTCTTCTATTAAACAATCAACAGTACTGTTTATTCTGAGACATGAATGGCTTTATTTTTTTATGATCTAAATGTTTTGTTTCAATCGAAAACAGAAAAACAGCTCCAGGCTCAAAAGTATTAACACAAAAGAGACTTTTTCTTTATTTGCCCAGTCTAAACATACAACACATACCACAATGAAACAGTATTAGCCCTTCTTGTGCAATTTAGAGGAGTTTTAGACATCCATGCGTTCACTAGGAATAGGTTGTTTACAGACTAAGTGTACCTACGGTCTACATTCTATGCCAGCAGGCTTCACCAAACTCCGGCCCTCCAGATGTTGCTGAACAACAACTCCCATGATTCCATGAATGAAATAGATAGGCTGAGAATGATGGGAGTTGTAGTTCAGCAACATCTGGAGGGCCGGAGTTTGGGAGAGCCTGTTCTATGGGAATCGCTACAGAAGTGCCAGAACAAAGTTTGTCCTGTCAATCAATATTGGTCCCCATTTACCCACCTGCTGAATCTTGGATTTCTTTAAGTGTGCCCAGGGACGTATGGCATGGAAGGGTCCCTCTAACAGTCAACCTAGGGTTAGGACAACTGGTTAAAAAACAGAAGGTATTTTTAGCATGACCAGAAATGTTAGTATTCATTTATAAGGTGCATGGTTCTCGTACGTCTTGCTGCTGGCTACCTCTGTGTAAGTGAACTAGGACGAGCGACAAATGACTTGTTAAAACCTTTCACACCCAGCTGATGATTCAAGTGAATCTAGAGACTGTAATGAGAACATTGTGCAACATATTGCAAATATAACCACATTGTAACTGATCTCACTAACAGGAGGTGCCAGTAATGGTAGAATAGCACCTTCGACAGTGTAAATACAATACAATGCATTTCCCAGTATAAAACCACTGCACAGTCACATATAGTTACAGACAATACACAGAACAAAGTCCAACACATTTCAGCAATGAAAGGTTTCATTCAACTATAATCATGCAGTAGTTCAAGGGATAGCATTGGCCGCCACACATGTTAAGTTCACAGCAGCAAGAAAATTAATAGTTCTATCTAAGAATATTTCTCACATCGTAGATGAAAGGGGCACGCAAAGCTACAAAACCATTACTGATAACTGCAGATAACTGATTTATTTTCACCTACAGTGGGGTGGCACCAATCCTGCAGTTTAAAGGAACACTATAACGTCAGTAATACAAACGTGTTTTCCTGACTCTATATTGTTTAAAAATCATGCTAAGTCCCCCCTTAAATAAGCATAAAACTTAACTTTATTCCAGTGACGTGCCGGTTTGACGGTGGTGGCTCCATCCTAATCCGCCTTCTTGGCTGAGATCATCAGCTGAGATCATCATCAATTGACGATCTCAGAATGGGAAAGCATTGGATTGGCTGAGATCATCAATTCTGATTTCTGAATCAATGCATCTCTATGTGGAAAGTTCAGTACGCTGAATGTCCGTGCTGCACATTGTGTAGCACTGCCCCAGTAAGCACCTCTAGAGGCTATCTGAGTGACTGCCACCGGAGGTGTCGCTAGGCAGTAATGTAAACCCTTCTCTTTAAATAAATAAGCCAACAGGGACATAATATACTCACCAAAGCCACTGCATAAAGCTGTAGTTATTCTGGTGACTATAGTGTCCCATTAATAACAGTAACAGGTTGAATTAAAACAAGGGTCTTTCCAGTGCAAGACTTGATAATGGGGATTTATTAATTTCTCGTTAACAACATTAATTTCATCCAAGCTGGGTGACAATGATTGGTTCTGCACATCAAATAGCAAGATGGAACAATATATACAGCACATTACCAAAGAGGGTAGTATTCTCACTACTGGTGTAAAAGTGTCCTTCATGGTTAAAGAGCATGCTTAGGTGGTGTGTGTTCTCAGACGATTTAAGAGATACTCCACTGTCCAATTAAAAAAATAGAAAAAAAATCACTGTTTAGTAGATATGCCCCAATTACATAATTGCCCCCTCCCCCCCCAATGGTAGTATATCTCAAAACAGATCTCCTATCTGCTGCTTTTGCAAGTACCCCCCTCCCCCTCCCACCACTTTCTGTGGCTGTCCAATGACATCATTCCCAATGCAACTAAATGAAAAGTCTCTGCACCGCAGGTGCTGTGGGCAATTGCTGCCTCTTGAGTTTATCTCCACTGAGCTAAACAAACCAGGAAATAACATGACTGGTTGTTTGATTGACAGCTGGGGGGAGGGTTAATTTATAAAGTGAAAGTTTCTACTGAAATATTTATACTTACATACATTTTGTCTCCTTGTGCTTTAATAATGTACAGATTGCAACCAAATTGTCACAAGGGTTTTTTTCTGGTTTCTTCTGGGAATTGCTGAGATTATCAGAATGTGTCTTCTCTTACAACATGTATTGCTGGCACTCTAAAGATGCCTCTAATTAACCTAATAAGTGCCAGCGATTAATATACTTTCTAGGGCAGGAGTAGGCAACCTTCTGCACTCCAGGTGTTGTGGACTACATCTCCTCTGATCCTTTCCAGCATTATGGCTGTAAGAGCATTATAGGAGATGTAGTCCACAATGCTTGGATTTCTGGAGGTTGCCTACCTGTTCAATGGAGTCACTGAGATTGCTATGTGGATGCATTTTACCATACAACTGGTCTGTTATCTGTTAAATGTTTTCCTCTAATTACCCAGTAACCATATATAGCAGCATACATTCATTAATACATTAATATTAAACATTAATAATACAAAATACTAATCTACAGGTATACTCTAAGCACCAAAACCAATGGTAATATGGTGGTTTTATGTACACAGATGCTGCCCCTTATGTGTGAGAATTTAAAATATTCACGTTTCGTACTGTTTAGATTCAACTTTATCGTCTGTAAACCAAACTTGTAGTTTCTCAATGAAAATATCCATTTAGTATGATTGTCACTTTAAAATCATTTTCATGATGTGCAAATCTCTCTTTCCTCTCCTTCTTCCTGCATTATTCCTTTCATTGTCTCCTTTCTATCCCTTGCTTCCCCTGCCCCACTATATCTAACATTGCTCCAATATACCTCTTCTTTGCCCATTGTGATATTTCACTCCATTCTCAATTCTCACTCCCCTTCTTATCGTACTTTGTGTTCCATCCCCATCTCCTATACGTCTTCAATTGATCTAATGCCAATACGTTCCCCAAATTAATAAATCCCGACTTTCATTGCCTTCTGCCATACTTTCTCAACTAACTATTCCTCGTCCCCCGCTGCCTTATCTCTTTCCCAACTTAAATGGATGGTTCATGCACGGCCCATGCACCCAACTTAACGTTCACCCACTTCCCAATCCTATTGGTAGTGGAGATGCGTCTTTCAAGATGATGGCTGCAGTAGCCGCACTGGTAACTTTCAGCAATCTGTGCCTGCTCATCGCGTTGGTATCTAATTACTGGATCTATGCGAACGGACGTGATGGTGTACTCTATTTAGGAATTTGGAAAGGTTGCACTGTCGATCAGTGTTACACACAGACAGCAGGAGGTAAGTGATATCCTTTTCGGCTCTTACAAAATCCCTTAAAATCAAGATTTCAATTATCTTAAATCCTTTTAGTGCAACAATTCACTTACAAAAAGACACAACAGATCTTTATTATATCAGCATCTAGTTGAAGTCAACAAATAAGGACAGGGCGGCCAACGCTGTTTTCTCAACAAGAAGAGAGAACATTTCTTCCGAACTCTAGGAAAAAGGACAGCAAAGGAGTAGAAGTAAAAATATAGGAGAAGAGGAGAGATATAACAATTAATTACAATCCTGTATCAAGTGAGGTAGTGAGTTGTTCCAAATATAAGAGCTATTTGGGAAGTAACATGGGGTATGGACCAAGGATATCGAACAGCACACATAAAAACACTGTCGTAATGTACTGCACAGGTAAATTGGCTGGTCTTATGGATTGATGTGGCCGTACGAGGTCATTTGGCAACCTTAGAGAGAATGGTTATGTTGAGATATTATAGTTAGGAGGCGGCAGCAGGAGTCCCAAGCTTCAATGGCAAATAATTGATCCAAGGATTCCAAATTTTAAAATATTTTTGCTTATTACCGCCCACCCACCAATGTAACTCATCCATGGATCTTGTGTCCTCCATCCGATACACCCATTGCTCCGCAGACAGAGGTTGGGTTTCTTTCCAATGGACTGTGACCAAGACATTAGCTTCATTTTATAGAAACCATAGTCATTTTTGTTGAGCTACATCAGTGAAGGAGTTGAGCCACCCCAGTAGAATTCGAGAGTGGGAGAGGGTGGAGCATAGGGGTAAAATCTGTTTTATAAAACTAATGACTTCCTTCCAATATAGTAAAGTGGAAAAGAGAGCGCACAAAAAAAGATGGATATATAGTCAACTTGTATGTAATGGTACAAAGTACCTCCAAATTGCAGCTGCTAAACAGAAAAAGAATTTTCCCAAATTCAATAGAAATTTTTTTGATTATGTTGTCAGCGCTTCGTAGATAATCCCCTTGAACTTAATTCGGGGTATACACATTTACAAATGTATCTGCAACAATTAGAAACAACTATGTGATACAAAATCTAGCATAAAAAGTGTCAATGTTGCTGGCACAGGAGACTAGACGTATTGGCAATCTCACAGATGAAAAAAGATAAAAACGAACTCCTCATCAACGCGTTTCGCCCCTCTTGTGTGGGCTTTTTCAAGATAGCCGCTATCTTAAAAAAGCCCACACAAGAGGGGCGAAATGTGTTGATGAGGAGTTCGTTTTTATCTTTTTTCATCTGGTGAGATTGCCGATACGTCTAGTCTCCTGTGCCAGCCTAGGTTACATCTGCGGAAGGGAGGACTTTACAGAGTATCCAGCCTGCCTCAGTGCACTAGGCAAACGCTGTCTTCATCTGCAAACTGGACGGCACACTTGGGACATAGAAGAGACTGCAGCCAGATAAGCTTTTACGTGGTCCTTAGAAATAGCACCACATCTATTTCTTGGATCTCCAGCACCAGTCTGTGTCTTCAACAATTTTATGGACTTCCCTACAGTTTGGACCCTGCTATAATATCATATGCACTGGATTGTGATATTATTTTTTTGGGTTTTATAATCAGCAACATTGACACTTTTTATGCTAGATTTTGTATCACATAGTTGTTTCTAATTGTTGCAGATACATTTGTAAATGTGTATACCCCGAATTAAGTTCAAGGGGATTATCTACTAAGCGCTGACAACATAATCAAAAAAAATTCCTTCCAATATAGTTGAATGTTTGGACCGCACACACACACACAGATTTATTCATTAACATGTCAACAAATAAAAGCAACCAGTGAAAGATTATTTTATTATTATTCATGAAAATAAAACGAGCCTTGGTGGGGATTTATTCCAGTCTTTAACATCCCAGTAAATAGGTATCTGCTTATATTAACCATCGAGCTGGGGAAAGTTTACTGAAAAGTTGATGATGACTATGTTCCGATGAAACTCTCACAGTCATCCTTCACCCTTGTTCTTTCTTTTTCTTTTTTAGTGTACATGAAGACTATTTTTATAATTACCTTCATAGTGGCTGTTTTAGTCAATGTAGTTGTTCTACTAAACTTCAAGTATGATTTCTCAACTATTAAAGGCTACAAAAAGTATGTGGGAAAACTTATGTTGGCTTTTGGTGAGTATGAGATAAACCTTTCAATTATTTTCACACGTAACTAGCTATCTCTAAAATATGTTATGAAGAGGCTATTTTACTTGGATAGATTTATTCTCATTCGCCATTCAGAATGGGTCAACAAGGATCACAAGGTGGCATTACTGACCTACCATATGTAAATTGGAGCACGTAAAGAATGGACGGAGTGACTGGATGCTAAATATTTGAAACATGGACATATCTGGGTCTAGAAAAGACAGGCAGAGAATTCTAGATTTCCAATGGCCAATCCAGACAGCTTTCCTACATAGTCATATTTTTAGGGTACTGGTACTAACTTTGGAACTATATAATAATAATAATATAATAATAATAATAATATAATATTGTCTTAGGACCATGAAACTTTGTGATAATATACAATCCTCTCCCATAATTGGTTTAGGAACATGGTAAATACTTTAAAAGCTTTTTTAGGGTTTCTTCAAACCATAGACCCACTGATTTTACTGCAGTTACTAGCATTACATACGATATTTCACTCTGAACATGAATTCTATTCTATGAACAAATTATTGTCTAGTTTCACTTCTTGTGCATAGTGCTATGATAGCCTACAGACCAACGTTTGTAACTAGAGCATGCCTTTTAATATATGTTTTCGTTGCAGCATTTCTCGAGGCTACTGGGATGACACATGCCAGTATTCTATTCATTCTCTCAGTGTTCTACAGTAGTTTGCACTATGCTTATTTCGTAGGATGGATCGCTGTTGCATCGGCCTTTGCTGCTGGTACGTTTGTTTACTTTTTTAAGTTTAATGGAGGTACCAAAGGAAAAATAGGGATTAAATCATTTGAGTTATCTCTAGCTGGGCCCTGGATTCTTTTAGTTAATACCTAAGATGACAATTCTTAGGTTTTCAATTGCAAAATAAATTAGGCACCCAAGCAGTGTCCAGGGTTATTTATTGTAACACAAGCAAGGTTTTAGCTCATGAAACAGCCTTTCTGAAGCCTTAAGCTATGGGAAAGCCTTGTTTTGGGATCTTAAATTTTTTGTGTTACAATAAATAATTCCCTATAGTAAAGGAGGAGACTATATTTAAAAGAAAAAAAAGCTACCACAACAAGAGGACATAGTCTTAAATTAAAGGGGCAAAGGTTTAAAAATAATATCAGGAAGTATTATTTTACTAAGAGGGTAGTGGATGCATGGAATAGCCTTCCAGCTGATGTGGTAGAGGTTAACACAGTAAAGGAGTTTAAGCATGCGTGGGATAGGCATAAGGCAATCCTAACTATAAGATAAGGCCAGAGACTAATGAAAGTATTTCGAAAATTGGGCAGGCTAGATGAGCCGAATGGTTCTTATCTGCCATCACATTCTATGTTTCTTGTTTCTATGTTTCTATTGATGCCTAGTATTTTGTATGAATCATTACTGACGAGTGTGACCAACCCAGGCCAATTTGCACCAAATTGTTGTCTACCTTTACCTTTTGCGTCACCTGAAAACAATGAGGTTCCCCTGTTAGAATTTAAAAGACTGTAGTATGGTGTCGGGAAGATGTACACCAAAGATACAATAGTGTTTCTTGGCTTTATGGCTGCATGAGATGTGCAGTTGCCTGCTGGGATGACTTGTTGGGTTTTATATGTGTGCTAGCAACCAAATGTACTTCAACTACACAACAAACTACACATGTGGGCTTTTGTGAGGGAGCTCCAGTACTCCGACCGAGTACCTCTGCCAAGTCTGCTTCCTTGTAGCTATCAGGAACCCTGGAGCACTTCAGACCCTGGAGCACTTCAGACCCAGTCGCGAAGGCTTGACTGGGATCACTGAGAGCCTTTTCCACCCTGGACCAGGCTACTGTGATTATAGCCCTAGACACATTTTTCATCAGCAGATTATATCCCTTTCCCCAAACACCAGACGACACCTGGTGAAGGTTAAAACAGTAACTTACTTTAATAGATGTAGCACACATATTTAAGCCCCCAACAGCCTCATTTATATACAATAGGGTGCATAGAGCACAGTAGAACAAGGAAGGATGGCGGCCGACAATAGGAAGGTCTAATGTGAGATTAAGGAGGGACAGGGAAGCACCCTGCTGGGGAAACAGTAGGACAGGAAAAAAAGGAGGAGGAAAGGCACAGACAATTAATACATTCAACATACCCTGCATCAATACTGGCCACAGGGTGAAAAAACACAAGAGGAATTTAAGGACCCACACGTAGTGTCTGTCTTCGATACCCAGTGATGGTGACTACCGTCATAGCTTTATAAAAATAAATAAAGAGAAACTGGAGCTCTTGTTCAGTGAGTGGAAATTATACTAACAGTTGTTGTTCTTTCCTTAGGGGTTTTGAGCTTTTACCACGGCCATATTGAACCAGAAATTGAGGACACTACGACGACAGTTCAAGGAACCACCACAGTCAAATCTGAAAGCCCCCCTCCATATAGCGTTATGCCTTAATTCAATGAAGCACTGTGTACCGACCATCAAACCAATAGACCTCTCCTAGTATTGACATTGTTGGACAGCACAGTTATTGTTTTACATATTGTTAGATGGGATCCAATCCTAAAACACAAGGTGATGTGAGAAGATTCAGATATTCTTGATAATTGGTGATGACAATTCTATGGAGCAAAATATATATTATTCTATGATCTGATGATCTGGATCTCATAGCATAATGTATTGAGTATGTTCATGTACCATTGAGATGTCTTTATGCCTTTAGCATCTTCAACACAGGAGGATAATTGTAATATTGCTGTTAGCCAAACTCAATCCAACCATGTTAGGGACCACACGACGGTCATATTTTGCCACTTTTGTCCTCTGTATTCCTATAGGTGATTATAGTAACAAAGGTAAGTAAGTTAGTGGCCATAAATGGTTTCTGGCTAGTAATCCGAGATTCTGATAATGAGCAAGCACTATTCCTGCATTACATTTAAGGACATTCAGGAGTCACTGTAGAGGGAGATGTGAATTTGAAAGATAAACCTAAAAAGGATAGGAAGCATGAATGAATATTGATAGTGTTAATGATGCACAACCCATGGTTCCGTGGAGAAATCCAATCATATTCTGTGTGTTCCCTGATTACATTACGTTACAAGGAGTTTACAAATACTAAAAGCAACTTCCTTTGTTCCAACCGCAGTTGCAAATGTATTGAGCAACAAACAAAGAAAGACGTGAGCATGCAATCTTTAACTCCTTAAAGACACATGACATGTGTGACATGTCATGATTCCCTTTTATTCCAGAAGTTTGGTCCTCAAGGGGTTAATAAAGTTAATCTTTATCCTGACATGCAAACAACCGACTGGGAGATTTAACACAGCAATACATGTGCTATCTTGTACTTTTACACGCGTGTACAGCACTTTCGGCATACTGAAATATCTGATGGCTGTTCACAAAGAACAGTTATTTTATACAGCCAAACAAACTACATGTATTGATTTTTTTAAATTACAACTTAATCTTTATGTAAAAATATACTTTTAAAATGATGCATGCAATGTCAACGTTTAGTAAGTAAAAAACAGGAATATAAAATGAATCTTCAAATTGTTTATCTGCTAATAGATAATAATAATAACGGTTTAAATCAGGGATCTAAATGGGGGACAGGAAGGGCAAATTGTCCGTCCATTAATGTGTTCAGGAGCAACCCATATCTATGTTCACTTTGTAATTCTGGAAGGATTTACTTATTGTACATATTGTTTACGTATTGTACCTACAGCATTTAATAAATAAATGTAAATAAATACACCAACATTTCTTCTGTCTCCCCTCCTCCAAGACAATGTGTGCCCTGGCCGTGCCAGGAACGGCCCAATCTGTTATGTTCTATGCTAAATATACATTTAAAAGAAAATGGCTCATCGAATGAAGAAAAGGTTAGCGAATGGTCTTGATGAATTTCAGTCAGTAGTTTAAAGTGACACTTCCAATTTATAAAATCTATGAGGAAGTGGTAAAGACACACAAGAGAAATAACGGCATGTTAGACGGGGTAGGGATTGATGGATTGGATGCGCTTGTAAACGTGGTAGAACCGAGCAGTGGCAGGATAGCGACTGTACTGGGCTATGGAGGCAAAGGAAGTGAGGAGAGTGATTGTAATAAGAGAAACATCACTCAGGAAGATGGCAGGATTTCCTAAACAGGTTTGTTTTCAGTGGCTTCTTATAGGACTGGAGGCTGGGGAAGAGTCTGATAGCGTGGGATAGGAAATGTCTTCAGCTGCTGTGATTTCTCAGTTCACCATTATTACATGGGATCTACGCAGTTTGGAGACAATTTGTGTAACATGTAGTTTACATCCTCTTTTACAACCAGATTTGATATTATTGCCTATGCAGGTTAACTGTCCCATATTAGTATGATTATTAAACAGCGCCCCCACATGGTCTATACAGGTGATGATAACTGCACTGGAAATTGTTGGTCCTACTGAAGGTCAAACCCAACTCTGATCATTTACAGCGGTTCGGCCAGACCTCTCTGTTTAACTGGCTATGTGTATAGAATCAATGCCGCTCTGGGGAATAGATCACAGCCTCCTGTTTTATAAAACCACTACACTTACTATTTACATTTGCTTCATTAAAACCTGCAAAGATTAAATAACACGCCATTTACACTGGATATAAGATAGCATGTCCGTTACTGAGATACATACAATTCGTCCTACTCACCAGAAGCATTGTCCACCATAGTGAGAAATGTTGGGAGTTTGAAGTGAAATCAGGCCAAAGTAGCAGAAACGGAAGCATAGCTGACTGAGAATTTTTCCAGTTCTGCTACTTTGACCTTAAATTTAAAATTCTTTCAGTTTAGTTTGAATTCCTGACAGTTCTTACTTTAATTAATAATCTGACAGTCTTTCATACTATCCTGAGCGCACAGTTACTCCACAACACACAGTCATGACACACACACACACAGTCACACACGCACACACGCACAGTTACTCCACGACACACAGTCTCTCACACTAATATTCACACACTCACACATGCACACATGCACACACTCACACACTCACAGTTACTCCATGACACACCGTCTCTCATACTAATATACACACACACACACACTCACGGTTACTCCATGACACACAGTCTCTCACACTAATATACACACACTCACACACGCAGAGTTACTCCACGACACACAGTTTCTCAAAATAATATACGCACACACGCTCACACTCACACACAGTTACTCCATGACACACAGTTTCTCACACTAATTTACACCAACTCGCACACACACTCACACACGCAGAGTTACTCCACGACACACAGTCTCTCAAAATAATATATGCACACACTCTCACACGCACAAATGCAAACACTCATTCCATGACATACAGTCTCTCACACTAATATACACACACACTCACACACACAGTCTCTCACACTAATATACGCGCACACTCACACATGCACAGTTACTCCATGACACACAGTCTCTCACACTAATATACACACACACTGGCACACACAGTCTCTCACACTAATATACACACACACTCACACACGCACAGTTACTCCATGACACACAGTCTCTCACACTAATATACACACACACTCACACTCACAGTTACTCCACGACACACAGTCTCTCACACTAATATACACACACACGCACACACTCACACACGCAGAGTTACTCCACGACACAGAATCTCTCAAAATAATATACACACACACGCACACTCACACTTACTCTACGACACAGTCTTTCACACTAATACCCACACACTCACACATGCAGAGTTACTCCACGACACACAGTCTCTCACATTAATATACGCACACACTCACACATTCACACATTCACAGTTATTCACTAAAGTCCAGAGTAGACAAATTGAAAGAATAGCAGACTTCGAGAATTTTTCCAGTTTGGCTATTTTTTACCTTAATTTTGAAATTCACTTTGAATTTACTTTAATTCCTCACTGTACTAAATAACTATGTTGAATTCACACCTATTAAGGGCTTGTTTAATGAACAGTTAATTAGGATGAACTAAAAACTAAATTGCAAGATTCAGACTACAATAGTCAACATGTGACTGTGATGAGTCAGAGAAATTTTTCCAAATCAACTACTTTTGTCTGAATTTCCAAATCAGATTTTCATTGTAGATTTTGGTGCATCCCGCTGACTCCCATAACCATTAACTTAAGAGGCTATAATGTATCCTAGAACTGTAGAGGGGATTTTACGTTTAAGCACCGATTCTCTTTGTATACAGCTGGAAGCAATCTCATCCTTCACACATTTCTAAAAACATTTTTGTGCCTTTGCTGTGATGGGTCCTCTTCTAATCACATCTTGCCCACTGTTATTGTACACATCCACCTACAGATTATACACTGCCACGCTTGTTTTTCATGTAGCACATTTATTTCAGTTTATTTTTGGGATTCCTGTTTGCCCACATTATTATCTTGGGTTCTCATTACCAAATGTAATTTGTTGTTAGTTTAAATGATTGTTAGGCAGAGATAGTACACATTAGATTGTTTAGTGTATTTGCTCAGTGATAATTATTGTTTCTTTATCTTTACTGTGAGTGCAGGGATCATGTTATCTGCTGTGTGCATAGCCAGTTTCCTCAAATTACTTCATTTCATTACATAAATGGCTTTTCTATCGATTTTCTCTGTAAAGTACGATTTCGTCATTGGGCAAACCATGCAGGCACCCAGTGTGTCCCAATGGCCATGGACAACAGGAGATATCAATGGATCCAAGCGCTGTCCTTGCTGTGTGCCTTCATGGGCCAGTGAGGAGATACAAGATCCAGTGCAACTTACAGCAGGAGAGGGAGGACCTGGGGGGCTGTAGTCCTGCTTGGTGCAGAGTATTCCTCCTGCAAGCTCAGGCTGTTTAGAGCATTGCCATATGTTACCATGGCATCGTTCCAATACATCACTAAGTCAGAGCACACAAGAAGAGCGGAGGTTCAGGTCTGGAGTCACTAAATACCTTCGGCCCACTAAGGTTTTCAACGGTCCCCCTCCCTGGGCAAAGGTACGAAGAAGAGAGGGAGGCAGTAAAGTTTATTTTACTTTTTATCAAAATGCTAATTTACTTTATTTTACTTTTTATCAAAATGATAATGGCTCTTCTCTCACCCCCCACACAACACAGTCACTGTACCACCCAACAAAATTATCTCACATACACACACACAATATCCCCTATACAGACTCTGGATTTTCACCTATGCACACACTACATCCCCTTTACACACACACACACTACAAACCACCACATCACTAACAGCTCACTCTACAATCACATAAGTCGCCTCCAGACAGATGCACAGTACTCTGTCATGCCACACACATAATTATATTCACAACATATATGCTCTAATTTTTTATTATTTTTCAATATATCCAGTAGCAAAAAGTTAATTAGAAAAAGGTGTTAATTACAAATAAATACATATATAGTTTGAATTAAATGGGCAGCAATATTTAAAAAAAAAAAAGAAAAACAACTCCAATTCATGGTTGACTGCATACATGGTTGGATATAGGTATAAAGTTGCTCCAATAATAACAACTAAATATTGGATAATGGACGAAAGCTAGATAACGGACAGATACTAAAAGATTATCCATACGAAATTTGGCTATTAGGTAAATATATATATATATATATATATAAATAACTCTTAAGATCAGCCGCAACTTTAAAAGTTACCACTAGATGGCATTATAAACCCAAAAAAAATATTCTGATGTAACTTGTATCTAAACAATAATTTGAAAAACAGTATTTTTTATTTATTAACTTATTACAGGAATTTAAAAAGCGCCAATATATTCCACAGTGCTGTAGAATTAGGGGGAAACAGTACAATATACACAGACCAAAACAAACGGTAGAGAGTGCCCTGCCTGTGAGCAGAGATGTAGCCATTGATGCTCTTTTATACAAAATGCTAGTTACATAGACTGTCAGCTTACAATCTAAAGTGTACTTTCCAAAACTGAACACTAGGTGGGAGTATAGGCACATAAAATGGGTAATAGTTGACCTATAATGTATTTTAAATGAGCCTGGATACATTAACAGAAGATTTCAAAATGCCTTGCTTGCCTCCAGCTTGCAGCTTGCTGAAATGGGCAATATAAAATGAAGAACCTTTAGTGGTTTTATTAACAATACAAAGTGCTGGGGGCGGGGCCTGACACATCGTGGCAGAGCTCCGGGGTTGAAACCCTAATTTGCCCGATAAAATTGCGAAACTCTGTCTCAAGCGACCCACACACAAGCTGTGCACTCTCCAGAACCCCTGTGACTATGTAGCTGCAGTAATCTCGCTGGCGGCTTCAGGCTTCATCACGGGACAAGGTTGCAGCCTGCGGGCGGCTAGGTGGCCGCTCTCCTCGCTCCCCAGTGGTCAGAATGGACCCATCCTGTTTGTACCCCCTCCCTCTGGACCAGTGGGGGATATCCCTGTCAACAACATGGTGCTGACCCACCTGTGCGGCACCTGACGGCTCCCGTGAAGATGACTCCCTGTGACTGGCGGGCTAAGATGGGTGCCGAGGAAGTACCCACAGCCTTGGGCCTTACATGCAGAATGCCTGGATAGGGCTTTCAAGCTCTTGTGGTCCCAATTCTGGCTCCGAATCGAAGGCCAAAGGACGAGATCCAAGGCAGCAGCCACACTGAAGCCCTCCCACCCACCCAAGGAACAATGCCAAGCCAAATCCTGCTAGGCGGAGCCCTACCACACTGCTGAAAGCTAAGAAGCCCTACACCAGGCCACACACAGCAATGTCCAGATCAGCCTGTGTAGTGTGAGACATAACACCCATGGATCAGTGGGCACCCTGTGCCATTATTATGTTCTGATGTTTTACCCTGTAACCCACATTGCATTGTGTCTAACCCCCTATCCTCCCTTTGCACATAGCCAGGAGACATTAGGGTGTACTCGGCAGGATCTTAGTCTTTTCTCAGTTTAACTTTTTCGCTACTGGTTGTCCCTATCTCCTGCATTACAGAGTGTTTATTTTGCAATGACTATGCATTTGATGCTACATATAAGCTGTCCTCTCGAAAGGCAATACCCTCTCGTGCTGTCCAGGGCAGCACACTAATCCTACACATTAACCATGCAACCACTTGAGTTTTATACCTCTAGACGCATTGTCCCTCACCATGTTTGCCTCGCCTGTTACACTAAATATTGTAATGTGCACCTCATACACGTTAGTACCTGAATACTACATCTCAGTAGTACCATGGACTACGCATGTTTCATAACCTACGTGGTTAATATAAAAAATGTGCATTGTGAATCCAAGACATGCCTTGCCATTTCAACATTTACTGTTATATCGTTTGTGTATGCTGCTGGGGCATTGGTAATACCTCTGCAACTGCATATTTCCTTATGCACGCAAAAATAAAGAAGTATAAAAAAAAAAATATACAAAGTTCTTTATCCACTACGCAGTAACATGTCAATCTAAGTGACAGAGTTAGAAAAAAAAATCTCAAACACGAATGACTGAGCAAGGGTTAATCAATTATTGTCACCTGAGCAGAGATTCGCTTTATTGAATAAATCTGGCAGTTCAGATCTCTCTTGAAGGTTATGAAAACAGATGTGAATAAATATTTGCCTCTCGTTGTGTCTGATTACTTGTACAATAACCATAACTTCCTCTGTTCCTATTGAGAATTTGTTTACACAAGCATTTGAAGTGACATAACCATGATGGCAAATATTTGACAATCCTTTAAAGTGTCAGAGCTCTGGGTTGTTCAGTTTTATAAAGACAATGAAAACACAAAATTCAGCAGTATCTGTGCGAGAGACATCATCACAGCTGCCTGGCCCAGATTTCCCATAATGCACAGGGATGTGTGTAGACCGCCATTTTGTTTTACGGAATAGCAGGGTTAACTGAAAACCACAATTTTTATTTAACCTGCTTCTTGTTCCAGTCTAATACATATTTTTCCAAGAAATAATAAAAGCTAACTGTTTGGAATTACTTGTAGAACTAATTTTCAAAGGTTAATAGTATATCAACGTTATATTGCTAGAAAACCTATGTGCTTTCCAGACACGTTGTGGGGCCATGCTGAAACCCGTGAGAGCCACATTCTTCAAGCTAGACACGTTCTTTCCATGAATGGTCAGGGTTTCTTCTTCGTTAAACGTTGTCACCTGTGAACAGGAGAGAAAGGATAATAAATGTTGTTTCTATGGCAATAAATCTATGATGACCTCATTTTGTACTCTATTAAGTCATTAATCATGAGCAAAAGCAAACTCATATAACAGATATCTATTGCAGGTGTTTTTTAGGATGTTTGGGAACATAGGACAAACAAAGTCTATACACCTTCCACCTCTTCATATGCATGTTATCAGGTAGAAGAGAAGAGAGAGTTTTAATATTTTTACAGAGTGTGTGTAAAGGGACGGGAGATAAGAACAGACAGAGCTATGGATAACTTGGACCTTTTGTCTACATTAAAGGGACACTATATTCACCAAAAGAGCTTTAGCTTAATGAAGCAGTTTTGGTGTATAGATCATGCCCCTGAAGTCTCACTGCTCAATTCTCTGCCATTTAGGAGTTAAATCGCTTTGTTTATGCAGCCCTGGGCACACCTCCATGCGTGTGACTTACACAGCCTTCATAAACACTTTCTGTACGGAATCCTCTAATGTTTACACTTCCTTTATTGCAAATTCTGTTTAATTGAGAATTTCTTATCACCTGCTCTTGTAATAGCTTGCTAGACCCCGCAGGAGTCTCCTGTATGTAATTAAAGTTCAATTTACAGTGCAGGAGATAAAAACTTTAAAAGAAAGTTACATCTGATTAAACATGAAACCATTTTGTTTTCATGCAGGCTTTGTGAGTCACAGCCATGGAGGTGTGGCTAGAGTTGCATAAACAGAAACAAAATTGATTTAACTCCTTAATTGCAGTGAATTGAGCAGTAAAACTTCAGAGGGATGATCTATACACTAAAACTGCTTCATTGAGCTAAAGTTGTTTTGTTGACTATAGTGTCCCTTTAATGTAGAAATGTACAATAAAATATATCTCCCATGGTAATAATATAACATTGTTCTGAGGTACACATGTTTGGGCTGTCACCGGTCTCCAGAAGAAAGCACAAAATATAAGGGTTCAAAAAATACCTAATGGTGAAATAGTAAAAGCAAAAATGTCTCCAGAAATAAAAGTATATAAAGTATATAAAGAAAAAAAAAACAGCCCCTATAATATATCACATGGATTGAACAAGGTACAACTTTTCCGCAGGTGTCCATAGACATAAATCTTCCTGTGTCGATGGGTGTTCTGGGTGGATAATCTATATGTATGATGTCAGGTGCAGGAACAGACGTCGGTCAAAGCAAACACTCTTAAACTAAGCTTTTATCGAAAGGATTCATTGTCCTGATTCCCATTTTACTATTTGTTTTATTTTAAGTGTCGGTATTCATGTTATAGCACCTGCTGCCAAACTAACCTTTTCAAGTTGACATAGTGTGAATCATTCATTATTTATAGTTTGTTCAAGAACTTCATCAATGAGTGGTTTGTTTGTTTTCACACAATGAAACTGAAATAAAAGTGATATATTGGTTAAACACTGACATAACAAGGCATTTCCCACTTATCAATTGTAACAAATGCTGTAATCTTATATTTAATAGAGTATTGTCTAGAATCCAAAGTAAACACGAAATGGATTTCAAATGTAAAGGGACACTATAGGCACCCACTATAGGCACCCAGACCACTTCAGCTCAATGAGCTGAAGTGGTCTGGGTGCCAGGTCCCTCTAACATTAACCCTGCCTGCTGTAAACATAGCAGTTTACACTAGGGTTAATCCAGTCTCTAGTGGCTGTCTCATTGACAGCCGCTAGAGGCGCTTCCGCGCTTCTCACTGTGATTTTCACAGTGAGAAGAAGTCAGCGTCCATAGGAAAGCATTGAGAATGCGCATTCAGCCGATGACAACCGAAGGAGGTGTAGAGTCCTCAGCACCGAGGGAGCCCAGCTCTGGAGAAAGGTGAGTGTTTAACCCCTTCCTCCCACTTCAGCCTGGCGGGAAGGGGGCCATGACGGTGGGGGCACCCTCAGGGCACTCAGTGGTCCTTTAATGAAGCAGTTTTGGTGTATAGATCATGCCCCTGCAGTCTCACTGTTCAACTCTCTGCCATGCAATTTTGAGTAGCAGAGATGACGTGGACCAATCAAAACATATGTGAAGCTATTTACCTCCTTAATTACTATGGATGTACTAGGTATGTCCGACAAAAACGGTCCTTAAGGACCGCAGACATATTTAATATGTTCGCAGTGTGATAAAGTGACGGTAGATAGGCCTATAACATTTAACCCCAGGAGTATGTGTAGTAGGTGTTGTAGGCAACACAAATCAAAGTTTAGTTATGGGCCCCTGGGGTGGAGCATTTGGAGAGCAGGGTGGGCCAATGCTCCACTCTGCAGTTTGCATACAACTGGGAGAAATAAGTTCCAGGCCAGAGCTTTGATCTGTCTCCAACCCACTGCTTAGCTGCAGATAATCAGCTGCAGCAGTGGGAATAATCCCCTCCCTGCTAAGCAGGTAAAGGGGGATTGCTGGCTTCCTCCCTGGCAGCAGGTAGGAGAGAGGCTGTTCTCTCCAGTGAGAAAGTCAAGGAGACTGAACACTGGGGATGCAAAAGGAAAGCAGTTAAGCCTGGCTTGGAGCACTAGGAGTGCAGAAAGGAGAGAGAATTTTCTTTCTTTCTAGAAGGAATGGAAGCCACATGCTAACTGAGTGTGGAGTGCAGAGATCTGACAAATGCACTAGGTTGTTGGTGAAACCACTTCTTGTTCTGTTATAGTTTAACCCCTGAGAGAGAGGGAATCTGATGTTAGTAAGTGCTCAGAACAAGCTCCGTTTTTGTTTATAGGGTTTGTGTTGTTGTTGTTTTTTCATTTGCTGCTGTATCTATGGTGGAGTTTAACAATAAATTGCCTGGATTATATGAAAACCAAAGGACTGTGCCTGTTGTTTACCCTAGAGGACCGTGCTATCTACAAACAAGGATCACAGCAGCAAATAGATTACTTACCCGATCGCCCCATTCCTCCGCCCGCGAGTATAACAGTACCCCCCATGTACAGGTTTTATAGTTTTGTTTTTTTAAAGTTACTGGGTCATATATAAGGCTTGGTTTTCTGTTTTTTTGCAATTTGCATCCTGATTTCAGAGTTCCTGACCCTGATTCTTTCTTTTAATGAGTTAAATTTAGCTACTCTAAGTACCAGTAATATAGCAGTTTCTGTTCCCTTACACGCAGGAAACAGGAAACCCACAAAGAGCGACTAGATTTGCGGTCCTTAGAGCGACTAGATTTGACTCATTATAGAAAGAATCAGTCAAAAACAGTTGAGATCAGGAATACAGAGATACGGCATATGACATCACTGCGTGCGAGGGAGCAGTCCTGGAAAAGCATGAAGATCAGAGCTCCCTCGTTGCCTGTCTCAGCTCCCCCAGACACAGTACATTTGGGCAGCACCTGTTGTCCGGGTAAACTGGTGCCTACTCTGCCTTAGCGCTTTGCCATCTGCCCTGAGGTGACCAGCAGTCTAGCTCTTGGGCCCCTGTAATAGAACACAGAGTTCCTGTCGCAGTTGTGACCTTAGCGACCCTGTTGTTCCACCGTTTGCTGGTTTCTAGTTTGCATCAATTGATTATATCAGATTATTCTTAGCAGCTGTTAGGGACAAATACCTGAGACAGAAGACTATAAGGCACTCACAGCTAACGCTGACTTGCTGAGGATCATGGGGAATGTAGTCCTCACACATCTGGCAGCCCAGTTTCCTGTTCTATCTCATCAAATATTTATTAATAAAAATACCAACCCAGTTTGAAAATATAAAAAAAATTTAAAAAAATAATGTTGTGCATTGACTTATCTTATCCTTTATTTTTAAATCTTCTGCCTTGACTTCTTATTACTTTTATTAATTTAAATTAAGCAATAGGATAAATTTCCCCTGTATTTTAAGGCCAGACTATGGCTAAAAAACTGCCTCGGAAAAGTGATCACTAATCTTTATGAGCAAATCTTCCA